ACCTAAGTGGATGTTTATTGTCATATACTTAATTAGAAACTTTTGAAATGTAACAACCTTAGTTAGAAAATTCCAAAGATTATATCTTTGATAAGAAACTTTTGAAAAGAAAATATACAAATAAAGATATGAACTTTTTTTTTTTTATTTAAGGTTACAAATTTTTTGAGTTTCTAAATTAGGTAATAGTCTTTCACTTTTTTTTTTTAAGAATAAGAAACTCAAAAAATTCATATCCTTAAATAAAAAAATGACAAAGTTTATATCATTATTTGCATTTTTTCTTAACTTTGAAAGGTGATAGCCTAAATTAATAAAGATTAAATATCACACCCTCAATCAGATAAGTTTTAAAAGGTTGTATATCTATTTATACAACATATTAAAATAAGTGACTATTTTTTAATTTTAGTCAGTTATTGCACCTAAGAGTCAATCTCCTACATTTTGCATTAGAAAATGCTTTCTAGGTCGGTTATTTTATTTAAAGAAATAATACATATCCACGTTACCTTCTAAAATTTATAAAAAAAAATTATTTTAAAATTATATAATTTTAATAAACTCTTATTAAAAATATTAAAATACCTTATTTTTAAAATATAAATTAAAGTATTTTTGGTCTTTTTGTGATATTTATTAAAACAATACAATTTTGAAATTATTTTTTTCATAATTTTTAAGAAATAAAACAAATAAACACTAATTCCTTATTTATAACAACTATATTTCTTAAAAACTAATTTTATGAATTTATAACCGTTGGATGTTGGATTTTTTTGTTATGATCTAGACCAAACCTACCGTATTTTACATGTTGCTTCCCCAAATATATCTTTTAGAGAAGGAAACCAAACAGACCCTAAGGCTTGGCAAACTCTCATGAACTTATTATGAAGAAAACATTATTTTGCCAATAAAACATTTTCTAAGGGTCAAATGCATCACACGCCCTCGCACTCGGTTTTAAGCTTTCAAAATGGGAGGACAGCAACGCGATATTAACACTTTTGAGCCCCACGCGTTCTGGTTTTGACCCATAGACTCGTCAAAAATGCTCCAAAATAGTGAAAAGCGGAAAAAGAAAAAGTCCCCGTGACAAAAATGTTCTTTCCGAGCCATTTCTATGTATTATCGTGTGTAGGATACAATTATTTGAGGATATGTGCATAAAAAAATTGGTGTTTGACTTTGTTCCAAGCACACACTACTTCAAATTCAAAAATTGGTTGGTAGACATTAGCAGCCGTTCGTCAACCGTCAATTTTCGTGTGCTCACCTTTTTCTTCTTTTTAATTTTCTTCTACTTTTTTTTTGGAGGTGGGGTGGGGGGGTTGGTTGTTAAGTTCTAATTTCCTTGAAAATTTTATGCTTTAAGGGGTGGGGTGGGGTGGGGGGGTTGGTTGTTAAGTTCTAATTTCCTTGAAAATTTTATGCTTTAATCAAATAAAGTTTAGGGATAGTCTTGACCTCCATTACCCACCAGGATATCTATCCTCCCTCCTGAGAGGATTGTTTTCCTTACCAACTACCACCTCCTTCCCATAGTTCTCCGTTGTGTTTATGTTTGGTTGGAAATTAATTTTATTAGAAAATTTTTCATTGTAAAAGTAGTTGGTAAATTTTTATATAAAAAATTAAAAATTACTTTGTAAATAGAAATTTTGTAATGAAATTTTATTAAAGTTTTATTAAGTTGTTAATGCTTTCTCATATTTACCAAAAAAATATGCTCCACTCATTCATTTTTAATAGATTTAATTTGATTTTTGACATTTCAACTATAAATTTAGGATGAAAACTAACATGTTATATAAATGATAATTGAAAATTTTTTTAATCAAATAAAAATACTCAACAAGAATTTTATGTAAGAAGAAAAAACTTTCTAATTATTATTCATATAAATTATTAAATTTTTATTTAAAATTTATTTCTAAAAAATTAAAAAGTTAAAGTAAATCTATAAGAATAAATAGAGAGGGTAATAAAATTGAGAGAAAGTTGTTATTTGAATTTTGGATTCCAAATTAGAAAAATTGGGGAGGGTTTTTCCGCTAAAAAATAAATCAGAAGAAAAGATTTTTTATTAAAAATTGTCTGAAAAATAAAAATTAAAAATGTTTTTATTTATTATACTATTAAAAGATGAAAATATTAAAATGTTTTTATACTTTCTTGAAAAGAGGAGAAAAACCTTTTCCCTAACCAAACGCTTCCTTGGTCTACATTCTACTTGAGTACCTACATTATTCCTCCCACGATATCTATTACTATGAAAGGCCTTGGATCCTCTGACATTTTCACAATAAGTATTGAACAATTCGTAACCCAAAAAAAAAAAAAAAGTCAACCGGACTGTGGCCCAATTGGTTGGCCCCCAAGCTTTAGGGCTTGGATGAGGCGGAGGTCAGGGCTTCGAGCTCTGCCACCGCTGTGAACTCCACCAACTTGTGACTTAATGGTCGCGTGCCTCAAATGAGGGGGTGGAACGTTCACTTTCCTGAAAAAATTTCAGTTGCTAACAAACTAACTCTACTAATTTCCTAACCATCTACCTGGTCCAAAAAAAAAAAAAGTCAATCATATTTGTAACTCAATAATAAAGATTCAGTAGCATGACATCTCAATTTTAATCTTAAATCCGACCACTAACGTTAATTCTTATCCAATGTATATATATATATATGAAATTAGTATTTTTCTGTTTTACTTTCAAAAAATTAAAAAAAAAATAAAAACACCTTAATTCATGTTTTAAAAATAAAATATTTTAATATTTTTCAATATATATGTATTAAAATAATATAATTTTAAAATAAAATTTCTCTTAATTTTTAAAAAATAAGGTAAATAAGTACTGTTTTATATATATATATATATATATATAATGTAATCAACTTGTTAAAAAAAAATTGGTAACAATAATTGAAAGAAAATGGAGAGCGTAATTGTGTTGGCAAGTAATCGTTCAATTTGCGCCTCTAGAGGAAAACGCGCGTAGTTTTAAAGAGGGGTAGTGCTAGCCATTACGCCAAGGTGACATTCTGGTAGTGATTGACATTGACGCGATTTTTGGGACCATTGACACATCCCTTGTGTGCGCTTAGCTACGCTCGACATTAGCTTCTCTGACTTCGGGTGTATTAAACCGCATTGAGTTGATGCTTCTCAACCATTCTTCGTCAGCTGAACTTGGTTGAATTTCAACTTCGTTTTAGAATATGGTGCTGTATTGGGTTATAATTGTAGGGTTTTTTTTTTTTTTTAAATATTTTATTTTCTTAAAATTATATAAAATATTAATTAAAATTGATAAAAATGTAAAATATTAATTAAAATTAATTAAAAATAATAAAATTTATAATTTTAAATAATGTGTTGCATGAGAAAATCTATAAAAAAGGTATTTTCAAACCAAACCTTAAATACATGTGGCAATGTGTCATAGACAAAATCTTCTTGACCATATCCTCGTATAACAATTGCATATAGAAAATTTTTCTTTCGTTATTACTTACAAGGAAAGGGGGTAATGATATATAAATAAGTTATTTGTATCATTTTTATTTATAATTTTTATATATTATTAAATTAATAAATATAAAAAAATATTATAAGACTTAATAAAATAAAATTTTTATTTTACAATCCAAATAATACTAAATTAT